TGTTGTCCCACCTGCTTTGAGATCATTCATAGGCTCCTCTCATGTAGTTCTGGGCTGATCCCTCACTTTTCTCATGGCCATCCTTACCCCATGAGGCGAAATCTTGCATGGAGCCCCAGACTGAATAATGTTTATTTTGTTATTTTGTATCTCTTCCATTTGCAAATAATCACTTCAACAGTTGTCTCCTTTTTATCAAGCTTCTTGATGGTCTAGAAGCACAGTCCAGCCTTGTGCAGGTTTGCAATCTTGTCCCTGATGTCCTTTGACAGCTCCTTGATCTTGCCCATAATGATGCTGAGGTTTGAATTGAAGAAAGAGATTCTGTGGACAGGTGTATTTTATACACATAATGAGTTATTAGGAGCACCTTCTTAAATTGACAGGACTAATCTGTGTACCACATGAGCACATAGCCAGTCTGTGGGAGCCAGAATTATTGTTGGTTGGTAGGATCAAATACTTATTTTATTTACTGAACTGCAACTCAATTTCTAACATTTGTATCATGTGTTTTTTTCAGGATTTTTGGCTGATATTCTGTTTCTATCATGTAGAATACACCTATGATATATATTATAGACCTTTAATTTCTTTGTAAGTGGGCAAACTTACAAAATCTTCAGGGGATCAAATAATTATTTTCACCACTGTATACTGTATATTCTCATTGTACAACACCAGTAAGTGTCTGACTATCTCCAAGTTGTAAGCAATAGAAAGGACTGGTAACAGCTCATTGTGTTCCTTCCTGACCTCCAGGCATTATACAATCACAGGAATTGTAAAATTGTAACATTTTATAAAAGTAGATATGCATAGAGAAAGGTTCCAAATACCATACACCCAGGAAAGGAGGTGAAAGCAGCCTCAGCCAGCTTCATCTAAAGTCGCATCCCTCTCACGGGGAGGTTCGTGGAGGTTGTATACAGTGTTTAATTATAAAAGAACAGATTGTGTGCCTGCAAGATGCTGAGACTAATTTACTAAAATTGTTTAGAATATTTGCACAATTGGTGGTATGAATAATTACATTTCATGTAAAAAAATGTAAAAAAAAAAAAGTTCCTACTTCCTTATTTCATCTGCACATGATTTAATCATTGATGTTATTACTTATTTTACTGGGTGTGCCTAACTCACAAAAACTGCTTACCAGGCCCATTATTTTCAACAAATATTAATCTTTTGATACATAAGTTGGCCATACAGTAATAGAATTGAATTTGACATTTTTAGTTTAAAAGTGTTACTAAACCCTCTGTCAGGACAGTGCTGATTGGCCCTGTGCTGATCACATGCACTCTCACAAAAAAAAAAAAAAAAAACCTCTCTAGCAATACACACCAAACTGAGCATGTGCAAAATGCCTATGGTTCAGTCCGGAGATAAGAGGTGGTCGCTTGAAAAAGGGGAGGAACAGAGAATAAAGGATCAAACAGCCTTTTTACACAATGCAGAGGATTAACCCCTTAGGTTCCACAGTGAGTATAACAAGCTTTACGGCATATACAGACTGATTTTACTGTTGTGGGTTTAGTAACACTTTAGGAATGATGAAGCAATGCAGTCTTTAAAATTTATATTTTTAACTCAAGCAGCTTTGTGCACAACCATATATTCTAAAGTGATTAGCCAAGTCACTAGCCAACAGATTCTGAGCAGTCCAAAATTTAAATAAGATGCCAGTTACTCATAGTATAAAAAATTGGCATCAAAGACATAAACTTTATATTTTGCTTCAATATAGGTTAATAAATATAACACAGTGAGTAAAACGTTAGTTAGTGAGAGACCCTACCTAAAATAACACAGAATAATACAGAAAACACTGCCAAATATAGACACCCTATAAAGCGCCCAATACAAGAAGCTGTTTGTTTTAGTCATGAGGTATGCCTAGACAGATTTCAGTAAAGAGACAAAAATTGCCTGATCTGCTATAGGCTGGGTGGGACACAACTCGTTGTGACTCGGTGTCATATGACGTCCTGTCAAAAGGAGCCGATCACTCGGCCGAGGGACCGCGCAGCAGCACAAACTGTCACCAGCTGCGTTCACGGGACACAGCCGATGACATATCACTACACCAACCCATTGCCAGTGTCATGTGACCAATCACAGCAGATCACATGTCAATTGTATACAATTAATGGTTTCCTGTCATGCCATTCATTTTATACATATTGTGTTGTTAGCTGTGATTGGTCAAATCAGTCACATGGTACAGACAGGGCCAATCACAGCCCATCTGTATCATGAGGTATGCCTAGACAGATTTCAGTAAAGAGACAATAATTGCCTGATCAGCTATAGGCTGGGTGGGACACTCCTCGTTGTGACTGGGTGTCATATGATGTCCTGTCATGGTGTCCTGGTTTCCTGTCATGCCATCCATTGTGTTTTTAGCTGTGATTGGTCAAAGCAGTCACATGGTACAGACAGGGCCAATCACAGCCCATCTGTATCATGTGATGAGCTTTGCCCAATAACAGCTAATCACAACAAAAGACTGAATGAATCAGCTTCATTCAGTAACAATGGTTGCTAATATCAATGAAATACATTACTATTAGCAGTCATAATGTGATCACTTGTCTAGAGTAGTTCAGTGTTATTATGGTAACATTGTATTGCTTTGGTTACAGTGTGTTGAAAAAAAAATAGTAAAACAAAGGAAAAATAATGTAATAAAAAATAAAAAAAATAGAAAAATTTGAGAAAAAATATAAATTAAATTATTATTTTAATTTTTTTTTACATACTGTCATCAGTCAGTGTCTCTGATCACCGCCACACCAGTTATATAATAATTCTGTACTGGACTGGTGACAATACGTGAAAAAAAAAATTGTGATTTTTTTTTTTTTTTTTTTAGTTTCTCTATTCTCCAAAAATTGTAACAAGAAATTACAACCTCCAAAAAACTTGCCATGCCTCTTACTAAATATCTCACACTGTCTATTTTCCAAAAAAGGGTAATGGGGGGGGGGGGGATTTGTATTATACTGGCGTTTTCGGGCCTCAAAAAGTTAGATTGGCCATCAGTACATCAGGATTGATCGATTGTCAGATATATATCCCATATATATTTATTTCAGGTACTTATATAGTGCCGTCAATTTACGCAGCGCTTTATACATATATATTGCACATTCACATCAGTCCCTAACCCTCAAGGGGTGTACAATCTAAGGTCCCTAACTCACATTCATACATACACATACTAGGGACAATTTAGACAGGAGCCAATCAACCTACCAGCATGTCTTTGGAGTGTGGGAGGAAACTGCAGTACCCAGGGAAAACCCACGCAGGCACAGGGAGAACATGCAAACTGCAGGCAGGAGGTGCCGTGTCTGGGATTCAAACCAACGACCCTAGTACTGCCAGGCGGAAGTGCTAACCATTTAGCCACTGTGCTGCCCATATATATAGACTCTAGAACTTTCACACTAATTTGGGACATATTCACCAAAGAAATGTAGCAGAATACATTTGACCGAAATTTATGAAGAACGTTTACTTATTTGCAAAATTTTATAACAGAAATGATGAAAAATGTTTTTTTTTAAGTTTTAGTTCTTTTGTTTATTCAGCAAAAAATAAAAAACTCAGTGGTGATTAAATACCACTAAAAGTTGTGTGAACAAAATTATACAATTGTCATTCAAAATGAGACAGAACTGAAAGCTGAAAATTAGCCTGGGCAGGAAGGGAGAAAAGTGCCTGGTGTTGAAGTGGTTAAGAATGTTCAATTTTTTAATCGTTGCTGGGGGTAAAATGGACATTTGTTTTCAAAGGAGCAGGTTGGAACATTTTTGTTCAATGAATGATCATGAATATGTATGTAGTTTTTGTTTGAGAGAGAGTCCATTTGTTCCAAAATCAAATGTTAAAAGCAAGGAAAATTTTGAAGTACTTTTGAATGACATTCATCAAGTCATCAAATCTACTGAGAATTAATGTTAGTACAATCATTCATTCGAAAGTCTACCAGTGGCCAGCTTTAGTTTAGGTAGCTGAAGGTATGGAGGCTTGGTGTGAATAATTGTACTGGTAGCCACATCTAAATAAAGACTGAGCATGAGTGTGTCCTGCAAATCTGTTTTGTTCTTTTTTTAAAATGAAAATTAATAAAGACTCTGTATGCTGCTGTATGGCTTTTGAACACATTTAAGAGTTACGGTGTAGAAAAACTGACGTATTTTACTTTAAATGTCTACCCGGGGATAAATAAAATTAGTTTAACCGCTAAAAATTAATATAATCATGATTAAAATGCATCTGTCACAAAATAAGATCACAGTGTTGAGAAGCAAGCTTTAATGTAATCTCCCGCATTGCGTCCAAGTCCTCAACACTATGCTTTGCCTAGGCAATGCAGATAATTATTAAACATGCTTGTGTGAGGAGTATTATTTGTATATGATTTTAACATTAATCTGGACACTGATAGACTCTAGCTTTCAAGAGTATGTTTTTCAGTTCCCCTAACATGCTCACCAGCAAAATAATTATTGCTTTTCTCTTGTGCAGATTACAAATGTAATAATGTGTGCCTCTAATGGCAATAGATTTAAGGGCTTCAGATGTTATTAGTTAAAGAATATGCAAACCCGACATTTCATATTCTTGGTATATGCCTGTTGTACCATGTACTTGTATGAAAAAGTATTTTGTTCTTATTGTATTGCTTCCTTTGTGTGAAATTCCTGCTGTTCCTACCAGTACCTCTGCTTTCCTATTAAAAACTGATCACACTAGGCATTTGAGCACAGTGTGATCAGTTCTCTGGCTGTGCTGCTCTCCTTCAATGATCAAACTTCTACTGACATGCCTACCTATGCACAGCAATTCACTGAAAAGATCAGTGTACTGCTGTTTCTCCTCCCCATCTCTGTAAGATCCTTATGCAACTGAGAATAGAAGGCATATGATCAGTTATAAAAAAAGGGGGAAAAATTATTTATAATAGTTTTTTTATATGTATTCACAAACAGGGGTGGACTGACCATTTGGAAACTCGGGCACTGCCCGAGGGCCCGGGATCAGTAGGAGGCCCCATGAGATGCCCCTGGTACCTTTTTCATAGGCTTTTTTGAGTTTGGGCAAGGACACAGGGGCCCCATGATCCCCTGTTGCCCGGGGGCCCCATGAGTTGTCAGTCCGCCCCTGTTCACAAATGTCTTTCCTTTCATTTCTATTTTAAACTGAATGGGTTGTTATACAGGGTGAGCAGGGGCGGACTGACCATTTGGAAACTTGGGCACTGCCCGAGGGCCCGGGGTCAGTAGGGAGGCCATTAGATGCCCTGGTACCATTTTCATAGGCTTTTTTGAGTTTGGGCAAGGACACAGGGGCCCCATGATCCCCTATTGCCCGGGGGCCCCATGAATTGTCAGTCCGCCCATGAGGGTGAGGGTTTATATATAATTTAAATGACTAATGTAAAGAGCTATTTTGTTGTTGACACATTCCCTTTAACCATTTACCCTCTAAAAGATTTACCCCCTTCATGACCAGGTAATTTTTTGCTAATCAACACTGCACTACTTTAACTGACAATTGGGAGGTCATGCAATACTGTACACAAATTAAATTTATATAATTTTTTCACACAAATAGAGCTTTCTCTTGCTGGTATTTGATCCCCACTGGGTTTTTTATTTTTTGTGCTAGAAACTAAAAAAAACCCAACATTTTAGGAAAAAAAACAATTTTTTTTTACTTTTTGTTATATAAAAAAAAGTCTTCACAAGTTTAGGCCAAAATGTATTATGTATTCTGCTACATGTCTTTGGTAAAAAACACAAAAAAAAACAGTAAGTGTACATTAATTGGTTTGTGTGAAAATTATAGCACCTACAAATGATGGTTTATATACTGGAATTTTTTTTTGTACTAGTAATGGTGGCAATCAGCAGCTTATTGTAGGACTGTGATAGTACGGTGGGCATTCTGACACTGGTTATGTGACACTGGCATCACCAGTGACATAATAATATACTGTTAATAAAATGTAGGGCTTAACATCTGGGGCAAATTCAGGGGCGGACTGACCATTTGGAAACTCGGGCACTGCCCGAGGGCCTGGGGTCAGTAGGGGGCCCCATGAGATGCCCTGGTACCTTTTTAATAGGCTTTTTTGAGTTTGGGTAAGGACACAGGGGCCCCATGATCCCCTATTGCCCGGGGCCCCATGACTTGTCAGTCCGCACCTGGATGCTATATATGTTCTGTTATTTCTAGCTGTAGCTCAACCTCCCTAAATCTAAACATATGAGAGTTTCCATGGGGGGAGTTACAGTAAGCACTTAGCTACTCTCCCTCTATATTCTGCTGTGTTGTCTCCCCATCTCTCTTGTGTACTGCACAAATAGTCTGAATCTGCTGCCTGCTTTTGAGGGTACAGATAGAGTGGAAACTGGGTAGAAGTAAAAACAGCAGCACTTTCTAAGCAAAGTAGTTGTAAAACATGTTTTAATAAAAGATCATATAGCAATTCACCAAAAGAAGTACTTGAACAAGGCACATCACTAGTAAGCCATCTCTCACTGGGTGGTCTGGACCTCTGTCCGCCCCTGGGGGCAATCACAGGGTTAACTTTGTGCCTAGCTATGAGTAATGCATGTAGTAGGTGCTGCTAAATTATGTGACTGTTTTTGTCTCCTCTTTGCAGGGAGACAAAAACTGGCACCTCCCCACTGTCAGCAGAGAGATCTGTGTTGTTTACCAACTCAGATTCCTCTCCTATCACTTGTTCCAATGATTGGCGGGTCCCGGCTCTGAATCATTGGCTGGTACCCACTGATCAGCATGTAAAGGAGCCAGTGACATTGCGGGTAGGTCGGCATGCACACCCCCTACCAGGAAAACTAGAATCACACACACACACATATATATATACATACAGTATACACACAATTCTGTGGAGCTGGCCCGCACTGTAACTGTAAAGCTATAGTGCGCAGTTGTCAAGCGGTTAAAGTGGCATTAAATCCTCCTACCCTTTACAGCCATGGAAGCTGCCATCTTTGCATAAGATTGATCTGCAGTTGTCATGATGCTAGACACGAATCAGTTATGACACTATTGTGACAGTTATCATTCATAGCATGCCTTCAATGTAACTGCATTGGGAAACAGTTAAATTGATGGGTTTTGTTCTGCTTTACCACAGATCCTGCTGACTTCTAGAGATTTTGATTTACTCAGACGCACATTCTGAAGGACTCCTTCAACTACACTAAGTCAAGCCTTTGTTCAACCTTAACATAAGATCAGCTTCTGACCTGAAATTCTTCATCCTATATCAATCTGTTTGTAGAAAAGCATATAGAGTTAGAAAACAGTCAGCCTTTATTTTCTAGGTTTTCCTTGTTGAATGAAGTGATGGAAGCATACAGAGAAGGTGGAGTAGCAGATCAAAAGTTTATTTTGTTGCTGGTCAGAATAGGCTGCTGAAGCTCCCACTGAGAAAAAAAAAAATCTTTATTGTATACACAGCCTAACAAACAATTTATTATTTCTGCAACAACAACAGGGAGTACTTATAAACTAATAATTGTTTATGGTTCATACTGTTAAAGCAGTATTAAAAATAAAGTAAAACATTTATTATATTGTAGCTTACCAATCAATAGATGTGGTGGTTGCATCTGTTGTCTTTTCTTTGGCTTTCTTCCCTCTGTTTTCACCTGGTGATCTGGCCATTAACACACCTCCTGTATTAGTGAGATACCACTCTGGAGGAATGGGCACAGGAGGCATAGGAGACAGCAGAATTGTCAGTCTGTGGGGGGGGTTAGTGTTAAATGTATTAGCGGTTTTGAATGTGATAAATTGAAACCAAACTCCAACTCATACATTGTAATCAGTTACAGTAACTGTTTTTTTCTTTTCGAGATAAAGGTTTTACATGCATATGTAAAAGCTGATAATCATAATCATCCCTGCCAGTGGTAAAGAGATTGTCTCATCCATGTAAACTGATACATTTTGCTGGAGAGCTTAAGCTTCTGAAAAACTGCAGACTTACTGGCTGAATAATTGGATGAAAATAGAAGAAAGATTAACCGTTTCAATACCATGCAATTTTACACCTTCCTGCCCAGGCCATTTTTCAGGTTTCAGCGCTCTCACACTTTGAATGACAATTATGCGGTCATACAACACTGTACCCAAAGTAAAATTTTATCATTTTCTTCACACAACTAGAGCTTTCTTTTGGTGGTATTTAATCACCGCTGGGATTTTTATTTTTTGCTAAATTAACAAAAAAAGACCAAAAATTTTGAAAAAAAAAAACACATTTCTCTTTGTTTCTGTTATAAAAGTTTACAAATAAATAATTGTTCTTCATAAATTTAGGCCGAGATGTATTCTGCTACATGTCTTTGGTGAAAATAACCCAAATTAGGATGTATTTTTTAGTTTGTAGGAAAGTTATAGAGTTCACAAACTATGGTATAGATCTGAATATTGATCAATCCTGAAGTACTGACAGCCAATCTAATTTCTTGAGGTCCAAGAATGTCAGAATAGTACAGATATCCCCCAAATGACCCCTTTTTGCAGAGTAGACAGTCCGACGTACTTCATAAGAGGCATGGCGAGTTTTTTGAAGTTGTATTTTTATGTCATAATTTTTCGGAAAATGAAAAAATTAAAAAAATTATTTTCACTATTTTTTTTTTTTACATACTGTCACCAGTGCAGTACAGCATCATCATATAACTGGCATGGCGGTTAACAGGGACACTGACTGGTGACAGTATGAAAAAAAATATATATATATATATAATTTTTTTAAATTTTTTTTTTATTTTTTTATTATATTTAATTTTTTATTACATTTTTTTTTTTTTTTTTTTTTTAAGATTTTTTTTTTCATATTTTACTATGACCAAAGTAGTACAATGTTACCATAGTAACACTGTACTACTTTGGGGAAGTGATCAGTATTTTTTTTTTTTTACACAATTTGCTTATAGCAAAGAATTACTTTGCTATAAGCAAGCATTTACCTGAATGAAATCGATTCATTCAGCTTTTTTTTTTTTCTTTTTTTTTTTATGCTTAGCTGTGATTTGGTCACAGCTAATCACATGACATGTGCATGTGATTAGCTGTGACCATTCACAGCTAGGCACTAGTATACAATGGATGGCATCATGAATGAAGCCATCCATTGTATACAACTGTCATGTGACCTGCTGTGATTGGTCACAGCAGGTCACATGGTACCAGCAACGGGAGCGGTACTCGGATCTGTCATCGGCCGTGTCCGAGGTGCACGGCCCGTGACAGATCCCGCTGCTGCGCCGCTCTGCATTACCGCAAACGGCGCATGTGCGGGAGCACGCCAAATGGAGTGCTCCCGGAATGAAGAGGCACATCTGAAGCCGCCAAACGGCCATTGGCCGGGCGGCTAATGGTTAAAATGGAAACTCACACAGCAATCACATCTAAGAACGTGTAAGCTGCAATATAAGAAATGTTTGCTTTTGGGTTTAATACTGTTTTAAATCATATGACCGTTTGGCTTTGCGGAAGACACAGCAATGATCTGTGCGTATTTTATTGCTGTGCATACTTTACTGTTTATAATAGTAAAATCATACAATTTACAGTTAAAATTAAAACTATTTGGAAATTATTTATTTCTTTTTTTTATTTTAATTTGGTTTGTTTTAACCTTTCTATAGGTAAATGTGTTAATCCATCTATGATTTAACCATTAATTAGGTAACATGAAACAATATCTATGTTGCAATTTAGAAAAGAAATTAAAGACATAAATAAACAGGTTTACTCTGTGCACACAGGGATTTTGTTAATCTTATCCTATGAAGGGAGTTCAAAAAGTATTAGGCTCAGAAAGCATTTACAAAGCATTGGAATGAGTCTAGAAGTTTTCTCAAATCTTTTTAAGTGATCTTTTGCTGTAAATTGGGAGTGCTGAATACAGCATTTAAAGCTGAACTCAAGACAGATTAAAAAAAGCACAATTCAATCAAGTTATGTATTAATTAAAATATGTAATGCATTTTAAATAGGACTAGCATAAATATATAAATCTGTTCTATGATATTATATTCTTGTAATCCTTTGTAAAGTAGCAAAAGGAAAGGTGCTATTGCTATGCAAGTCTGTCACTCAATAGTTTGATCACGCTTACCAGAAATGTGCACATCCAAAAAATTAGTTTTGTTTCCTTTTGGATTAACCACTTACCATCTGGCCCATGTATATAAACGGCCAGACGGGAGCAGTGCAGGAGCAGGTGGCCATTTATAAACGTCCTCCCACTTCCCTGCCTGTGTGCGCTCCCTGGGAACACCGATCACTGTACGGGACCTCTGTGTGAGGTCCTGATCATGTGATCACTGATTGGCCAATCAGTGGTCACATGAATAGTAGTAAGCTGACATCATTGCTTACTACTAGTGAAATCTGTGAATGATCACAGAGGTCACATGGTACAAGACTATTCACAACAGCCTCGTATCATGTGACAAGCTGTGACCAATCACAGCTCTCACAGTATTTCTCAATGGCTGCAAGAATGCAGCCAGAGAGAAGGAGAAATTATTGCTTTTACAGCCTTTATGGGTGTAAAAGCAACCAGTGTAAAAAAAAAAAAAAAAAATATTCATCACTGTACTGCTAGGGTGACAGTATGTTAAAAAAAACATAAATGATAATCTAAAAAAAAACCATAAAAATTTAAAAAATTATAATTTTTGGTTATAAACTAATTTGGGTTATTTTTTTTTATTACTAAAAAGATAGCTGAATACATTTTGGCCAAGATTTCTGAAGAAAGATTATTTATTTGCAAACGTTTATAAGAAAAACACTTTTTTTTCAAAATGTTTGGACTTTTTCATTTATATAGAAAAAAATAAAAATCCCAGTGGTGAATAAATACCACCAAAATAAAGTTTTATCTGTCTAAAAAAAATGATAAAAAATTCATATTTGTACAGTGTTGCATGACCGCACAATTGTCATTCAAAGTGTGATAGCACTGAAAGCTGAAAATTCGCCTGGACAGGAAGGGGGTGAAAGTGTCTGGACTTGAAGTGGTTAATTAATTGAGAAAATCATTTTGTTTCTTCATATTCGTTATGTTAGAATGATTCGTTTTCAGAATTGGTTTTGTGTATTCAGATCCATTTTGTATATTAGCTGTTCTGAATCGATTTGTATTTTCTGAAGTTATTTCAGAAACCTAAAAACATGTGAAAACATGAACTTAGAAAAGTG